TATTCCCTTCTTGAGATGCGCCTACACATTCCACCCCAACCCGAAAGTAACATTTGAATGCGATCTAGCCTGAAAATGTGGACGTGGTAGAGAGGGGCGGACCAGTGTACAGGACAACGTTTTCGCTTCCTAGGCAAGTCTTGTACCAAACGCGGACTTTGAGTAGTTAAAAGGTTTGGTTCGTCAGATCGGATCTTGAGCCCAGATTTCATCCACGGCCTGTAGACGTCGTGAACAGCGCCACTTTCCGCTATGCCATCCGCTTCTGAAATAACAAGATGATCAAGATCGCTCAAGATCTTGTGCGACGCTCCCTGTCCTCCTTTGTCCCTAGTCACCTCAGATTCTCTCGCCGTGACTTGCATTCTCTAACGTATCCTGAACTGCTTCTGCGATGCCATAAATAGAGAGGGGCTCTTATTCAAGGCATACAATCTTTCTTTGCTTTTTTACTCTGCCCGTCCTGTTCCTTCATACTCGAATTAAATGGAATTTCTCACACTTCTTGTCGTTTCTGTTGAAAACAAAACGAATTTCTTTTCCCGGGAAATAACTAGCTTAAGGCTTTTGTGAGCGATGCCTTTGAATTTAGGCGTACGTGGAAGTGTGACGATATTTTGCCTAATTCATAGCTGATGCAAAGCCTTCGAAAAATGGCTGATGGGTAATAGGCTCGTGACCGCAAAGCTTAATTCCGGTCCTTTTTGCGTGAGCTTTCGTATTAATCCTAAATGAGTTCTTGAACCATCCGCGCTCGTACGATGGTGAAGGACGTCGTCGATGCCATCTATAATTCCAAGCGGAGGTGGGCCGGTCATGTGGCTAGACTTACCGATGATCGCTGGACGAAGAGAGTGACTGACTGGTACCCAAGGGGAAAAACAAGGCCCAGAGGCAGACCCCCACCAGATGGGCAGACCCTCTCGTGAAGATGTACGGCCAGTTGTGGCGCAGAAGAGCCCGAAGCAGAGCGACCTGGAAGATGTGCGACCTGCGTTTCTGGCGTGCCCGGGACGAATAGCGGTCGAGAAGAAAGAAAGAAGAAAGCCGGAGAGTTCTTGAAGGAAATCGTGAATGATGTAGATATAAACGGCATTCTCGTGCCGAATGAGCACAGCCCTAGTGGCGACCACTTGTTGCTGAAAGTCGCGATCGACATGCGTAAAATTTCCAGTTTTGCAGCTGTTTACACCTTTAGCGCACGGTAATCAAGCACGTTTCGAATTCACCTCATGTGATACATACTGAGATCGGTTAGAGCGGATTATATCCTCAATAAGGTCACTCCCAGATGAAGCGTGATGAGGACAATTTATAGCGAGCTTCTATACTTCTAGTTATCTGTAAAGAATATATTCAAAGGCGAAGTTGTTCATGCCGACAGGGCAGTCATTTGAAAATCCCGCTAAAGGTGATTAAGTGGGATACGGGGAAAATAACAGGGAAGAAAAGGGACCCGGAACCGAATCAATAGGGATCCTTCTTGCACTCCTGAATGATCGAGTGATGCGACTCTCATCGATGCTGCCCTCTTCAACGCTAACGCTCTCTCCGAAGAGTTGGAATCAGACGACGATGGGTGGGAGTGCGGCGGTTGGAGGTGTGGGTACAACCCGATTATGCCACTGCACGCCTACCTTTGGCTGCAAAACGCGATTAGTCCTCTTTAGGTACCCTTTTAAGGAACTCGCCTTCCTTTCTACTACGATGATTCCCCTTTTTCGACCTCCGTCCTTATCATGAAATCCTCCTTTGAGATGGATTACATAAAGGGGTCACTGCGAGCGTTGGAGTTGACCTACCTCACCGCTTCCATGAAACAATTGCTTTTTCACCCACCAGTATAGCGCTTTAATTATTATTTATTCACCAGATTAGTCCCCCGTCAACCGCCGGGACCTTCCTTTCCTGCGCAAGCTTTCTATCCTCCGCTATGGTCCCTTCCTCCTGTGACACCAACACCTCCTGGAAGTGACGCGTATGCAACACAATGGTGTTTCATACAGTAGAAGGGACACAATCATGATATGACGGTAGATTTTTCGCTTCCCTTCCTCATCCTCCCTTCCTCTCTCCACTGCCCTCCAGCTGCCACTGCAGCACCATGTGGAATGAACGGAAGTGTGCTAAGCAGGTGTTTATATAGCCCTAAGAGTGTTATCACAACTATCCTGCTACAAAACATTGATATCTCAAATCCTGTAAGCTACCCGATTTGTTAGCGGTTTGTTTATCCCATGAGCTTCCTTCTCACTCACTTCATTTTGCGGACGGACACACATACATACACACACACACACACACACATACAGATACACAAACCGACACACAAAGTTAGCGCTTTATAAAATAGAAGGATTTATCTTATAAACTTATTATCGTAATCAAAAGCTATACGATTGTCAGGAGAATTGGACGATCACCCGCATCGACGTCGACATTAACTCGTTACAGCATCAGAGGCGAGCGTCAGCCTCTTGCCGGAACAAGAAGTAGAGATCGACTGCTGAATAAGAGTTTGTAAGGAAATGAGTGCCAAGAAGTAGGGCGTCCCGGAATTCGCGCGCATGAGTCCTTTTTTGGTGTGGACAAGTGGCAAAGGACTGGCAATGCCTGCTGCGATTCGCTCTTCTAGCAGTTCAGGTGCGTGATACTTCTGGATGCGGATGTGAAGCAGCAGAGCATTCGCGCGGACTATCGTGTGCCGCCTGTTGTCAGGTGGCCCCTCACTGCCTTTCCGCCGCATTCATCCGAAAACGTCTCCTGAGGTCTTTCGTCTCCGCAGTTTCCAGAGACGCTTCGAATCATTCGCCGCGCCTGCGGCTCAGCGCAGTCTGCGCGACGTCGCGAGGTGACCTTGCTGTGCATTGTTTAAAGAAAGCATTGCCACTTCAAAATTATGAATGGAACGAAATCAACTGATGCATGTTAAGCTCATCACAGTAAGCCTAAACGCAATATGACTCCTAACAAAATGTAAGTCTTCTTACTCAATTTTTGCCTCCTACTAATTTTATTTGAACGTTAGTCTTATAAAATTATTGATCTAAGAAAAGGCTTAATTATTCGTGATTACCACGATTTACCATGGCGATTATGGTCAATGCCGACAATACCACTTGATCTGCAGGTTATTTACTACATGCTCTTTCTATGGCCCTATTTACTACACGATCCTGCATATCGAGACATTCCTGTTGGATTTCATGAAATCGGGTACTACTGTTGTGTTCTGTACAGTTTTACGTGTTATACATACTCATGTGAGTAAATCTTTACTTCAATCGTCCTGTGTACAGTAATATGATCGATATGCACATCAATACATGGAGTACGTCTTCACAGAAGACACCGAAATTCCTGAGAGCGACTATCGGCCGGCTGTTCGCCCGAACAACTCTATTTGCCCATCTCGGCTAACGTTCGATCTAACGCGTTGATTGTCTGAAATGTGGGAAAATGAAAAACGAAAATAAAATGAAAAATGAAAATGAAAAAAATGAAAATGAATGAAAAACGAAAAGCATTCAGTGTTCACTGGCCTTTTTATAGGATGCGCCACGTATTCCCGCTTAATTCAATATTTTAAGGCTACTGAAATGCGCTCAGGCTTATGCTCGAGGCGGCCGCCAGGTTTTTGTCTTCGTAAACACGGCTACTAATCGAACCCGTAAGGAGGGAAGACTCAGTTGGTCCTGGACGGCTCGTTACCCTAGATTCAACCCCCGGGCTGTGCTCGCTGAATGTGGCGCCGCTTATCACTGAACTTCCAACCAGAGGGTAACACAGAAGATGAAAATACGGACCCTTGTTCCAGCGGGGCGGTTTTTTTCGTTTTTGTTTTTAAAAAAATAAACCTTTCGCAAATACTGGCTGCCTCGCTTAAACAAGCGGTTCATCAACAAATCGATGCTAAAGGTCACTATTACTAATCTTGAGCGCTATTCGACTACTGATAATAATTTTGAGCGGAAGTGGAATGGCTACAGACGACGTCAGTTCCCACCCCCTACTGCCTGAATTTCAAATCTCGGCTCGAACTTCGCTTATGGTTAGGCCATCCAGTCCCTTCCATCTCCTGGGTTTCCAGGTCACTTGGCTGGCCAGATTGTTCTGCGAAGTATTGGATAAAAAAGGATAAAGCATTTGCCGTTGATCAATCCCTTTTGGGATGCGGCACGCATTCTACTTCCATTTGTACATTCGTAGTGGCGTTTGAATGCGATGTGGCCTATACAATGACTTGCGGGGGCCAGCCGATGTACAAGTCAGTGTTTTTATCCTCCCAGACAAGTCTGGTACCAATTAACCGACCCCGGAGGGATGGAAGGCTTGGTTGGCCCGGGCGACTCACGACCCAGGATTTGATCCCCGGACCGCTCGCGTGGTAAGCGTGCCACTTGCCACTACACCACTTCCGCCCCTGAATTGAATCGACACTACCGTTAGTCCAGTGGGATAAACCCGTTGATAACGAATCCATCGATACAGAGCGTCTAACGCTATATCGCCTTATAGCAGTGTTTTGCTTAAAGGCAAGATTCAAGCTTTAAACTGATGAGGTAATTCTACTCAAATGTGATGTGGGAGTGGGAGGTGGACCGCCAGTGAAGAAAAAAGGAAAAGAAAACGTGAAATACACAGGAAATACGATCGTTTTGCTCTACGTTGCGGCGAAGTTCAAAAGGCCGGCAGGGAGGTGAGAGATAATGTGAGCGCGGAGAGCGGTAGAGAAATCCGAGAAGAGAGGGCATAGCAGCTCAGCATTGCGATGCGGACAAAATATCGAGCGGTGGGCGGAGCGTGTCGCGGCAGGAGGAGCGTGTCAAAGTCCTTGGCCCCTAGCGCTTCAGTGACGCATTTCGATGCGGGGTTTTGGCGAGTCGCTTACAGTTGTGTCCCATGCGCTTCTAGCCACTTTAAGGGCTCATTAGGTGGGTCTGAGCCCGAACTTTGCCTTTAAGCAAGCACCGATTACACCAAGAAAAGCAGAGTGTCGTGTGATGGTCAGATCTTCTGGGATGCGCCACACATTCACCTTCCACTTAGAACCATAGAGGTGTTTTATTCAGCGTTGGCGTTTACAGAGCTGTAGGAATCAGAAATGTTTTGGAAGTGAAGCAGTAATCCGCCGAGACTAAACGGGCGCCTCAAAAGTGAAACTTTGTTTCACAGTGGCAGCTCGAAGACTTTTTTCCTCCTACCCAGCATCTCACGGGAATACTAGATGAGTGATTGAACTGGGTACGCTCAAAGGGTAGAAACGCGATATGATAAATTTGACTGCTGCGCCATTTTGACCCTTCAATTTTGCAGATAGAGAAAGGCGGAGGCAGAAATTCGGAAAAAGTCTGGGAAATAACTCGACTCCTAGAGCTAGGAAGATGGTACGGGGTCGGCTAATCATGCTGAACTAAGAACGGGTCCGTAAAGTCCTACTCATCCTGTCGAAATTCCTTTTGGATTGAAGAACTTTTAACCCTAGATTTATATAAAAAAGAGTACTCACGTCCATCAGGTTTTGCTTATCGAAGCAGAGGGGAGGCTTGATTTTGAGGATGTTCACGTGAGGACCATCGGCGTTCAACAGAATTCCTCTGTCCCGTCGCAGTTTCAGTATCAACGACAACGCCAGCTCCTGATCAGGTTCTCTGGTCTGTCGGTCCTTGACCAAATCGATTCCCCAGAAAAGACCGACACCTCTGAAAAAAGCAGAAATAGAGATTATTGGCATATGTAAAAAAAAGCATTTTCACGCTTCTCTTCGAATTGAAGGCAATGTTTCCTGTAAGAGTGATGTCATTTGAGATGCGCCATGCACTGATTTCCATCAAAACTTGTTAATTTGATTGGATGGTGTAGAGGCCTTTTTCGAATTTCTACGCCCCCAGTTTTCAAATAGTGAATTATTGCAAGTTGTATAGAGCAAATTCCTTATTTGTATGTTATTGTGCTCTCAATGAGGCTCTGCCCTGGGCCTCCACTTGACGGAGATTAATGAGCCGCCTGTGGGCAGGAATTTGACCATATCTAACCCATCTAGCTGGAGGGCAGGCTATGCCCAATAAATGGCCAGAAAATACTGAGTTGCAAACAAGTGCATGGCGCATCCCAGCAGAATCGAATGGTATTCTTCCTGACACCTAAGCCTGTATGATTAATCACTCACCTGACATCTCCTATACATTGATACTTCGCCTTGAGCTGATTCAATTGCCTCTCAAATTCCTCGCCCATTTCTTGGCTGTGTTCCAAAAGTTTTTCTTCCCGAATCACTCGCATCACGCCCAACACCGCTGCACACGCCACTGGATTTCCTCCATACTAAAATATCACTCTATATTGTAGCGTAGCCAGCTACATCTACAGTAATCGATAGCTTACCGTGTTAAAGTAGCCGACTTTTCCTCCCAACGCATCGGCGATTTTCCTCGTTGTCGCTACAGCGGACACTGGGAAACCGTTACCCATTGGTTTACCCATGGTCACGATGTCGGGCAGAAACCTGAATATTTGAAGCTCACTAGCTGATGGATACATTGATTTGTTAACACGGTGAAGCCTACCATCATCGAATAGTTGGTGGGCCCAGAACTTCGATCCGACCCTGCCGAATCCGGTCTGAACTTCGTCGATGACCACGAGACCACCGTGATTTCGCACATGTCTTGAAAAATAGGATGATTAAGGCTTATGGATGGATTGATAAATTTATTGATCCTCGATTACCTTGCCACTTCGGTGAAATAGCCGGGTGGTGGGATAACCTGACCACCGCAGGATTGGAGAGCTTCGGCAAAGTAGGCGGCCACAGTTCGCCCATTGGACTCGGCCTAAATCGAGCCGTATGCTATTACTTCA